TGTGAGGCTAAGGAGCAAGTGAAGGGCAGACAGACCCCTGGATCCTCAGCAGGCTCACAGGACTCTCCCCAGCTACACCCCAGCAATCCCCTCCTGCTGTGAGCTGGAGTGCACTTGGTGACTGCAGAGCCCATCTACAGTGCCCCAGACCCTGAAAAGGAGTTCCCGGAAGGAACTGGGTGTAAGGCTGTGCACCTGGGCTCCAGCTGCAGCCAGTCTGGACCTAAGAGAGGGTCCTTTCTTCCCTTTCCCAAAGGCAGGATTCCGCTCTGGAAAATTGCTACACCTGGCAGTGCTGCTGTGGTCAGCATATGTGCAAACAACCTGGCCTAAGAAGTCAGCTGGCCGGTTTGCAGCAGTTAGAGCAGCGGACCACTGACTCAAGGGTCACAGGTTCGAGTGTAGGAAGCAACCAATCGATGTATCTCACCTCAATGTTTCTCCCTCCCTCCTTTACACTCTACCTGAAAAGCAATGGAGAAAATATCCTCGGGTGAGGACTAACAAAAAGAAAAAGAAATCAGCACCACATGGAGCTGGTCCACCCTGAGGGGCCGCCTGCTGCCTGCTAGCCCTGCCCACCCCTAACACCCCTCCCATGCTGTGGCCCTAATGAGAGCCTTCACACAAGAATGTGCACGGCCTCAGCTGAGACCCAGGCCCCAGCAGCCTTATAATTTGATGAATTGTCAACATCTGGGCCATAATTGCTGGGCCCTGGGCTGATAATTCTGGTAAGCCCCCTCATCTAGGGACCCCTTCCTGATGCATTTTGAGGCCTCTGTTCCTGAGAGGTGCCATCACCATTAATTACAACCAGAAAGCAAGACAGTCACCCAGCTCCAGCGGGTCTGAGCATTTACTGTCGTCTGCAGTCCAACACAGCCAGTTTACTGATTTAGTTCAGTTCAACAGGTAACTCTCGCTGATGGGTCGGGAAGCTGGAGCCACCCTGCCAGCATGGAGTGAGCCATTAGCACCACCCCTCACTGCAGGTGCCCTCTGAGGCTTCACTTCCTGAGAGACACTGAGACTGGAGGGAGCCCAGGGGGGCAGGAGAGTATAGGAGAAAACTGCAGTGAATCCAAAGCACTGCTGGGGAGAACTGGTGATGAAGATGCTGAGGCTCAGAGAGGTTGACTGGTTCTCTCAGGGTCACACAGTAAGCATGTCTGTCTGACCCAGCACTCTCTCTGGCAAGAGGGTCAGTGTGAAAAATGGTCCAGATAGCCCTGCCTGGGGAGGACCTGCTCTGTGGGGGAGACAGATGTCCCAGGAATCTAGGAAGAAAGGCAAAGCTTGTGAGGCTGTGTCCCCCAGGTTCCTAAGAACAGCCATCTGTCACCCCCTCTACCCTGTGCTGCAGGAGAGGGAGCACTGCATGGAGAGTAGGGCTGATTTTAGCCCTTGGTCAATCCACTGACTCAGCTGCTTCGTGTGTGTGATGGAGCCATGGTGCCTGCCTCCCAGGGCTGCTCTGAGGGCAGGTGTCAGCAAGGGTAGGGCAGGGCTCGGTCAAGTCTAAAGTGAGGAACATTCATGGAGAGTCTCCCTCTCATGGTCTCCAGGGGCAGTGTGCCCTCTTCCCTAGACTTTATCAGGGGTACCTTGAACTCATCACACCATCCAGGCCTTGAGGCTGGTTCTTATCCTCATCTGCTGCTGGTGACAAGCCTTGCCTTGTCTTCCCTCCTGGCACCTGAAGAGAAAAGAGCCTTAGTTAGTTCCAAGCTGTACCTTAGTCACTTTTTTAATCCATGCAGATTTATAGAGGGGCAAAGTTCATGCTGCATTTGGGCTCAGTTCAGTGGGACTTATGGACGCATCCAGGGTCTAGGCACGGAGTTTATGGTGGCAGCCACATTGGTCAAGGTGGCTGGGGATACCTGGGCAGGCGAGGTTCAGTAGGCAGTGGGGATGGGAGCAGGGAAGGTCTGAACAGCGACATACAGGGGCAGACTAGAGGGGCAAGAGTGGCTGGACACCAGGCGAGTTTACTGCAGGGGTTTAAGTGCAGAGAGAACACAGAACTGGAGCCCTGGCCTGTTACTGGCTGTGTGGCCTTGGGCAAGCAAGGTCTTCTCCTTGCTGGGCCTCATTTTTCTGCTCTGAGACTGGGACAATAACACCTGCCTCACCAAGCGTGTGGCTCAGAAGACTGAGCGTCATCCTATGGACTGAGAGGGCCTGGTTCGATTCCCAGTTAGGTTACATGCCCGGGTTTCAGACTCGATCCCCAGTAGGAGGCGTGCAAGGCACATCAATGTTTCTATCTCTCTCTAAAAAAAAATCAATAAAAACATAAGGGGAAAAAAGACCAAGTATGGGGGCCACTAAAACACCCAGGATGGGACTTGGGCCCTGTGTATGTTGTAGCAGCTGGAAGGCTAGGCCTGAGTGACAGGGCCAGGGTAGAAACACTCAGGGGGACATGGCCCTGAGAAGACCTAGCTGGGCCTGGGCATGGGGTGGGGTGCGGGGAGCAAGGCCTATTTTAGCAGACTACTAAAGAGGGAATGGCTCTGGCATGTGAATCCAGAAGTCAGAACTGCCAGGAGTCCCCAAGAGGAGACCAGCCAGCTGATGAGCCTCAGATGATGGGGACCTGATAGCTGGGGCTTACCAGGATCCCCCAGGGCCTGGGCCCCTAAGACTTTGGAATGAGCTACTCCCTCTCTCCCAGAACCCCAGCTGTCCCCAGGCCCAGGCCATCATCCCCACATTCACACTTTCCCCCTACAGAGAGGCTGGTGGCTGGAAGCACCTAGACCAATTTCCAGATCTGCCCTGGTTTCCCGCCTGGAAGAGGCCCTGGTGTGAGTGCACCAAAGGGTGGCCATTCTCAGGTCTGGGGAATCTGCAGATTGGCTGCTCAGGGCAGCCTGGACGTCAAGCCAAGGAAACTGGTTATTTACCACTACACCCAGTGGGCGGGGTCACCAATTTCTAGGCTGTGTCCAGACCCAAGGAAGGAGACACCAGCTCTGCCAGGGCCAAGGAAGTCTCAGAACAAATGAGTATCTGAGGATGAGTCCCTCTCACCAGGTGCAGAAGGCAGTGAAGAGCATTGCCAGCAGAGAGAGCAGATGGGAAAGAAGGGAGAGAGCTGGGGGAGACCAGGGACACAGGGTAACCGAATAGTAGAGCCTGGCCCTGGCCACAGAAGACCCCAGTGTTGGGCCAAGAGTGCAACCACAGCAGTTGGAGCCACAGAGAGTGGCAGGGCAAACCCCTGTGAAAGCTGTGAGAGACCAGGGTGGAGGGCAATGCCGAGGCTGAGCTGCCCCTCTGCTCACCAGCCCCAGAACGCTCCCACCTCCCTGTCTTTACTGGGTTGTTCTCTCTGTCCACAGTGCCCCACATATATGCACACATGCACACGTTTGCTGTGTTTAAATCCCCAAATGTTACTTTCTTAGGGTAGAGCTCCCTACTCTTTTCCAGTGCCCTCAAAACCAACATTCTCTCTGCTTGGTACTGGCAGAACCCTTTGCCAGCCCGGTCCCCCACTCTCCATGTTGTATTGTGAGTGTCTGTACATGGCTCACCTCTCCTTGGTTTAGCTCGGTGCACACTGATCAGCACATGTTCTGTGCCTGGCCTCATCTGAATACTGGGAACATGGGGATCAGACCCTTTTCCTGGATCTGCTGGAGGACTCGTGTAGACCACACATTAACAATATATGTATCACGTGGGACATTTAGAATATGTGCTGGACATAGGGACAGACAGCCTGACTTTGGGAAGTGAAAAGCCTCTTTATGGAAGAGGAGATGACTGAGCTGAAGACGATTCATAGAGGCAGGCAGTGTGTGCAAAGGCTTGGGAGAGTGGAGCTGCTCATTTGCTAGAGTCAAGGGTGAAATGTGTATGGGGATGAGGGGATGGTGTCTGATGGGAGGAGGACAGGAGTCTGCAGAGAGCAGATGGGCCAGGTCCGAAACACCCGTGCCCCCATCGTATTCCTTTACACCCCACATGGAGAGTGGAGCTCAGTGAAGTTTTGTTAGGTCGATGGGTAGAGGAGGCCCAGTGGAGCTGCTGTGCAGTGGTCGCTGGCCCTCTGCAGACACCACAGAGCCCCTGGGGCCCTTGAAATGCCCCAGTGCTCAGGACTCACCCCTGCATTTTTTTTGTTTCCCTCAGCCTTGACTTTTGCCTGCAAAGGCCACAGCAATGCAGGGAGCTGAAAGAGCCTTCAGCACTCTTCCAGTTACGTATCAGATTGTTCGGGCTGCTGTAACAAAGTACCATAGACTGTGTGGCTTGTAAACAACAGAAATCTATTTCTTAATTCTGGGGAGGGCACTCTTTCGAGCTGTAGACAGTGGACTTCTCAGGGCAGAACAGAGTTCTCTGGAGTCCCTTTTATAAGGGCGCTAATCCCATTCATGAGGGCTCCACCCTCATGACCTAATCATCTCCCAAAGGCCCTACCTCCTAACACCATCACATTCAGTCCAAAACAAATTACAAGTGACAGAAACTCAGTTCAAGCTGGCTTAAGGAAAAAATGTGTTCACAAAGAGAAGAGTGCCTGATGGTTTCAGCTTCAGGCTCTTTGCCATCTTTCTCTCTATCTCTCAGCTCTGCTTCCCTCTCTGTTTCCCACTTTCTCAAGCCATGTGGTGACCCAGGATCTCCAGGCTTAGCTCCATAAAGTGAAAAGAGCCCTCTTTCCCAGAAATGTCAACTTTCAAAGTCCCAGGCATGCCACTCATCCCTGAACCAATCACTTCAGCTGAGGGAATGCGGTTATGTGCCCAAGCCCCATGGATGGAGATGGGGGTGGTTTGGGCTCTGTTGTCGGAGAACGGGATTCTGGACAGCAAACAACACCCAAATGCTCCCACCCCAAACCTGCGTGAAACGTACCCAGGCCACGAGCTCAGCGTAGGCTTTGGTCTCTCGTCACTCAGTAGTGTCCCTAGGTCATAATGCCCAGAGGAAATGCCTTTCCTGGATGTAACCTCTGCTCTTTCTTTCTCATTTTCCAGGGGCCATTGGGTCTGGATGGAAAGCCAGTAAGTGATGACAGGGCAGTTCTAGGTGGTCGTGGGATGGGGCTGCCACTGCAGGGTTTGGAGTGGCCATGGGTTGCTGGCAAAAAAGATCCACTGAGAACCCTGCTCAGTGCAAAGAGAAGCCATTTGGGCATCAGATTTAAATTCAAATCCAGCTCCACCACCTGTTAACTGTGCATACTTGGGGAGGTCTCTTCACCTCCCAAGCCTGAGGATTCTCATCTATCAAAGAGGTACATTAACCCTCCCAACAGGGATACTGGGGATGTGGAGGATTGTGGACAGCACTGTCCCTGGCAGCTGGTCAGCCCTCAAAATATACAAGCCCCTCCCAGCAGTCCCCAGGCACAGAACATCTCCCCAGGCAGTCTCAGTACTTTAAAGGTGGGCATCAGGCTGAGGCGTTCTCAACACCTGGGTCAGCAGTCTATAGTCCGTGGGTGTCCTCAGCAGAATGAATAAGACGCACAAGAAACAGCATAGTTAAATAAATAATTGGATGGATGGATGGATGGATGGATGGATGGATGGAAACAGCATAGTGGGCCCTGGCCGGTTTGGGTCAGCGGCTAGAGCATAGGCCCACGGACCAAAAAGTCCTGGGTTCAATTATGGCCAAGAGCATGTACCTTGGTTGCAGTTCGTCCCCAGCCCCAGTTGGGGTCGTGTGGGAAGCAACCAATTGATGTGTCTCTCTCACATGGATGTTTCTCTCTCTCTCTCTCTTCCTCCCTCCCACTCTATCTGAAAATAAATGGAAAAATATCCTTGGGTGAGGATTAAAAAATAAATAAGTGGATGGATGGATGGATGGATGGATGGATGGATGGATGGATGAAAACAGCATAGTTAAATAAATAAGTGGATGGGTAGATGGACAGAATGGACAGACGGATGGATGGAAGAACAGTCAAAGGAGGTAATGAATCAATAATTGTACAAATAGTTGGATGCATGGAAGAATAGGTGAGTTAGTGGGTGGATAAATGCATGATGGTTAAACAGACAAGTGAGTGAAGAAATGAATGAACTGACAAATGACTGAGCATCTGACTCATAATGTACATTATTAAAGGATGGAGAAAAGAACCTAGATGGACGAGTTGTTGAATGAATGAACAAGCAAATCCATACTGGCTGAAGGGATAATGGATGATTTGGGGAGGGATAAAGGCCAGTGAGCAGGTCAGTCCCTGAGCAAGTGTGCCAGCCCCCACCCCAGGGACTCTGAGCCCCACAGTGTGCCTTGTGACTTGACCTTCTTCCCTAGAAGGCCATGTAACTTGGCAAGACTGAAAGAAAAACATTTCCCTATAGCTAGAGAGTGATGGCAACTACCAAAGCTGCGTGGAGCCACCCCATACCCACATACGCAGACTCCATGAGCAGTGGCCTCCTGGCCAGCACCCACACACAGCAGGTGCTGAGCATGGTGGGCTCTGATCTCTGGGAGGAGTGACTACCATGTGTGCCTCTGTCCGGAGATGATGCCAGTGACTTCCCAGTCCTCTGTGTCCCTCATGCTAAAGACTGAGATGTGGGGCTTCCTTGGGGTCAGCACGGGCAGCCTCCTTAAGGGCTGAAAGTCTTATGTGTCCACTCAGCTGCCCACAGCTCTGCTCAGCCTCACAGGCCTTTCTGCCCAAAAAGCCTTAGGGAAGCCGGCAGGGGGCCAGCCTAGCCCTCCTCACTCACTCCTGTTCTTTCTCCACCTTCCTTCTCCAGGGACTTCCAGGCCCCAAGGGGGAAAAGGTAAGTGATGCTGGAAGCTGTACAAACACAGGAGGCTAAGGAAGGATGCCAGACACCTGCCTTAAAACCCCAGTTCCAGAGTGTGACCTTGGGCATATCACATCCCCTCTTGGAGCCTCAGTTTCCTCATCTATAAAGTGGGGCAAGTAGTGCCTGCCTCCTATAATGGTTACAAGACTTACATTTAACAATTTAAAGTGCCCAGAGGGTTAAATCTGAGTTCTCCAGACACCAGAGTATAACAAAACTCAAAGCAGTCTGCCTAGTAATTAATTATGAGGGGGAGGGCAGTGTCAAGAAAGCCTGGTGGGTTGAACAATGACTGTTGATGGCATTCTTTGTGGGGAGGACACCCTCGCCAGGAAAACAGATGGCAGAGAGCATCCCCTGGGATCCTCACAGCCCCTTGCCGGAAGGGCTTCCTGGCATCTGGTGCTAAATGTCACAACCACAGCCCTGGAAGGCTGGGATCTCTGAGTACCTCATAAAAGAGCAACAGAGAGGGGAAATGTGTGTGTCCCATAATGGGATCAGTGCAGCGAAGGACCAGGGCTGATCTAGGTATAGCAAGACTGACTGGGCACTTCCAGGGAAGAGTTGGACTGGGCCACATTCACAACCCTGACTCCACTGGGTATCGCTTAGTTACAGGCATCCAGTGTTCTAGTCATTCATCAGAGCTGAGCAAGTCACTAGATCTGGTGTTCAGAGCCTCAGGTTCGCATCCCACCTTTACCACCAACTATGTGGCTTTCAGCTAGTCCCCCCTCTCTATGGGCCTCAGTTTCTCCATCTGTAAATGTAAACCAGTCTCACAGAGCCATGGGAAGACTGTCCAAGGTAATGGTCTGCATGTTTTTTGTAGACAATGAGACTGTCATGTAGTTGCAAGTGCAATAATTGCCTTCTTGCTGGTTCTGGCTGATGCCATTGAGCTGTTGAAATGATTAACGCAGGGAGTTTGAAACCAAAGAGAAATTGCCCTGGCATCTATCAATGCATAACATACTATCCCCAAACTTGGAAACTTAAAGCAATTGATCAAGTAATTGTCATCCTTGACTCTTCTGCGGTTCAGGGATTCCAAGAGAGCACAATGGGAGTGGCTTAGCTCTGTTCCACCATGTCTAGGGCTGGCAACAGATAACAGACCATGTGGTTCCAAGCCTAGAATCTAATAGCTGTGTGACCTTGGGCAGATTTCTTAGCCTCTCTGTGTCTTCATTTCCTCATTGGAAATGGAGAAAATATATAGTCTGCATATGATTTTTGGTAGAATGGATGATACCATGTATGTGAAGCTCTGAGCACAGATCTTGACATATGTGAAATTATAAAAGCAGTGGTGACATACCTACCTGGTTTTTGTTCCTAGGGTGCACCGGGAGACTTTGGCCCCCAGGTAAGACTGAGCAAGACCCCCTCACCCAACTACATTGTTTGTTTTACATTGTAATAAAGTATGTTCTATATAGCTTATCACAGAAGAAGGTGAGTGAGCAACCCTGCCTCCCATCTGCAGTCCTGCTTTGCAGTTTCACATAAATGGCCACAGGGTGGAGGTCCCAGGCACCTTGGTATGGCACAGATGGAAAGTCCCTGCCAGATGTCCCCATTACACTTATCACTGTGGATGGGCAGACAGTGGGGCTGGCACTGGTCCCAGACCAGAAACTGGCCTTCCTGAGGATAGCTGGCACCCCAGGAAGAGGGAAGGCTGCAGGGCCAGCAGCACTGAGCTCAAGTTCAGCTCTGCCACTTCCCAGGCAAATAACCTTGAGCGAGTCACTTTGCCCTCTAAGGCTCAGCTTCTCCAACTGTGAATGGGGGTAACAACCCCTACCCCAAGCTGCTGTGGTGAAGATTCAATGCAATCATAAAAGTGGGCACCCAGCACCCCAGATGGGAACAGTAGATGTGAGCCTCAGCCAGACCACCTTGGCCCTCAGTGCCCCTTGAACCCCGAGACTCAGAAGTGCCTGATGCTGAAACAGGGATTTCCTCAACAGAAGATGAAGCAGAGTGGAGACCTCAGGTGGGATGGGCCCCACAAAAGTAGGTCTTGGCAGAGGGTCACTTAAGTGGCCCTCTCCATCTCTGCCATAGCCTGGGCAAAGAATGGCAATGGCCTGACTGCAAAGGCTGAGAGGTGGGCATCAACTGCCCAGAGAAAGGTGGGAGAGTGGCACATTCCCAGTTGTTTTTTAAGAAGGTTGCAGGGTGGAAGTTGTAGCCAATGGCCAGTCACCTATAGCAAGCAGTTGCCAAGGCTGGAGGTCGGAATGGATCAGAGGGTGGCTAAGAGGAGGGCACTGTGTATGGGGGAATGAAAGGGAAAGGGAGCAGCGTGCAGAGAGCATGGGCTGGGGCTTTGCAGACCCAGACAGGCTGGGCGGGGTCCCTCTCCCAGCTCTGCAACCTCATGACTCTGAGGGTGGTTGTGAGCCCAGAGCAGGGAAGAGGGCTGGCCAGGCTGAGTTTCCTAGAGACCAGCTGTTCTGTGCTGAGCCATTGATAGAAGACCAGAGGCAGAGCCACATAAAGCTGGTGAGAGGTCCCTGCTGTCAAAGAAAAGGCACCTTTGAGTTTGGTGTTAAATTTGGTGGCTGCTAAGAAAAATTCTTCTGCTCGCTTTCTGCTGGAAGCTGATCTCCCAAACAGGGACACCCAGTCCTCAGCAGACCAGAATCCCCCAGCCCTGGTATCACAGCAGAGTAGACCCCTCTCCAAGTCCCACCCCTCTTCATGGGTAAACAACCCCCTGTAAAACAACTTCCACCCCTGAGAGTGATGTAAACAACATGTCACCATCTCATCTCTCATGGCACCCTGGGTTGGCTGGGTCTCTCCTGTTGCAGGCAGAGTCAATGGGGCCTGGAGTCCAAAGTGATGGACACCTTACATGGCTGCCATTGATGCGCTGTTGGCTGGGAGCTGGCCTTACTTGAGGGGCCTCCCAAGAACAACATCTCAAGATGCAGGAAGCCGGGGCTGCCAGGCCTATTAAGAGCTATATGCAGAATGGGCACAGCATCGCTTCCCCTGCATTCTAATGGTCACCTTTGTCACGGGGCTCACTCAGAGTCACGTGGGGGGCAGACCCCAGCTCTTGATGGGGAGTAGCAGGATCACACTGCAGGGGACCCCGTGGGATGGGAGTGAGTATAGCGGCCTCTGTGGAGATTGTGGGCTGGGGTAAGTGGCTTTGCCTCTAGGAATAGTCTTGTGGCTTCCTAAATCCCTGTCCTGCCCTTCTGACCACACAACCTGTTTGCTGTAGATGGTTTTCCTACGGCTCAATCCAGGCTTTATAAGTAGAGATCGTCACTCGTACACTCGCCGCATCCTCAAGGTAGACTGGACAAGTGGGCTGTCTGGGCTGCTGGTTTGTGTGTTCCTCTCAACTCATCAAATTTCCAGAGTTAGACCTCAGCCGTCCAATCTCAACCAGGAGGAGGAGGCCCCTGGCCAGCCTCATTTCCCAAGTAATTCAGGGGAAGAACCTAAGAACCTCTCTGCTCAGTGTTTAAACCCATTTTCTGCCTAGATAAGTGGAGTCCAGGCCGTGGTTCCAACCTGAGCCCGAGCTGTGAGAAGAGCAACCGGGGACAGGGTTATCTTCACATTCTTCCTACTACAGCATAAAAAGAAACAAGAATTACCCACCGACATCACCACCCACAGCGGGGTGACCCAACCAAACACAGTCCTCTTGACTTTGGGCTGGAGTTCTATCCTTTTTGTCAGGACTTGGCCGTTGTCGAGACCTACGTGGTAGACTCGGAGAGTTTCAATTATGTTTTTCACTAGGAAAACTAGTGAGCTGGGTCTTAGATGCAGTTGACTGGAGAGGAGATCTCTTTCATATCTTGGGGCCCATGGATGAACAAAGTGTCTAAAAGAGACCACATGCCTTACTGGCCTTTCCTAGCCCTGTGACCCTGGTTAAATGATTACCGTCTCTAACGCCGGCCACTCCATCTGTAAAATAGGACAAGAGCAGTGCCCTGGCCAGATGGTCTCAGGATTAAGTGAGATAACCCCCAGGATGCCCTGGCTTATCAGCTCTGGGTACACAGCAGGGCCCATCCACAAAAGGCCTGGTTACAGGAAGGTCAGGCACTGCTGGCAATGTGAGCCAGGTATACATCATTCCTGTGCCCTGTGCCAGTGCTGGATGGGCACCACTAGGCAGCAGGAAGTGCTGGTGGCCCTGTGGTCTTCCCTCTTTGCAGGTGGGGCCATGAGGTGAGGGCTCTGGCTGCTTGAGGTCTGACCCAGTACTAACATTGGCCTGAGAGTTAGGGGTTTGGTGCTGCATGAGAGAGATGGTGTGGACCTCTGTCATCTTTTGTTTTTTTAAGATAATTATAAATTCACATGCAGTTGCAATAAATAATGCCATATACCTGTCACCCAGTTTCTCCCAGTGGTGACTTGCAGCACTGTAGTACAATCTCCTACCCAGGAAACTGATATACTCTGCCTACCTTATGCAGATTTCACCTACCTAACTCATTTGTGTGTTTAGTCTTATGCATTTTTATCATGGTTGTAGATTTGTGCAACCACCACACAAAGATCCCTCATGCTACTCTTTTATAGCTATAGTCACCGCCCTCCCCGCCCCCATCCCTAACCCCTGGCAACTACTAATCTATGCTCCCTCTCTATAATTTTCCCATTTCAAGAATGTTATGTAGATGCAATAACAATGTATATAACCTTTTGAGACTGGCTTTTTCCCTCAGCATAATTACCATGAGATGCATCCAAATGGCTTTGTGTCTGTCCTCTGTTCCTGTTTGTTTCCTGCTGAACAATGTTCCATGGTAGATGTGCCCCAGGTGGTTAACCATTTGCCATTGTAGAACATTGGGGTTGTTTCCAGTTTGGGGCCCTTATAAACAAGACTGCTATGACCACTCATGTACAGGTTTTTGTGTGAACATGAGTTTTCATTTCTCTGGGACAAATGCTCAGGAGTGCACCTCTGTCCCTTCATGAAGCAGCAGTGGACCCACCGATGTCTTTCAGGAGGCATGCAATTTCCTTTCCACACGTGTCTTCTCCACACCCAGCGCGTGTCATCTCTTACCTAAACATGTGGGTGAGGAGAGGGCACAGTCCTTGGAGTGTAAAAGGTCCTGTTTGCGTCTTATGCTGCGTTTTAGGGACTTGTCCCTTTCTGTGGCCACCAAAAAGTGGCGAGAGGCCCAATAACAAAGGCCTTTTCTCTGAACCTGTCAAGGCCTGGGAAAGGAGAAGGCATTGGACTGCCCATCTAAGGGGGCCTCTCTCTAGAGACCTGAACCCATTCCCCTCACCCTCGGAGTCATGCCAGGCCTCATCTCTTTCAGGGAGACCAAGGGCAAGATGGAGCTGCTGGGCCTCCAGGGCCCCCTGGGGCTCGGGGCCCTCCTGGTGACACTGGAAAAGATGGCCCCAGGGGAGCACCAGGCCCAGCGGTAAGAGGGCATGGAGCTGGACCACTCAGGACCTGGTTCTGTACCGGCCAAAACCCCAAACCCTGATCCCAGAACCAACCCCAACCCCGGCCCTATCCCCAGTTCAGACCCAAACTCAACCCTAACTCGATCCCCAACCCAGACTGTTAAATCAAAACTGACTGGGTCCTTAGCCCCGATTAAGACCTTGACCCCAAACTCATTCCCAAATTCTGACCCACATCCCAATTAGACTATCATCAGACCCTAACCCTTACCCTTACAGACTCTGACCATGATTGCAAATCCAACCCTAACCCCTACACTCTAACTCCAAATAGTTCCATAGACCCTAACTCTGACCTTGGCCACAATCTCATTCCAATCCTGACCTTGACCTCCATATGTAGGGTCTTCTCTGCAGATCTTTACCAACCCCTATTTCTTTTTCTCCCTTTCTCCCTTCTCCCCAGTACTAACTAGTTAACCTCGGTCATTTTCCCATGGTCCTCACCAAATCCCAGAGGCCAGACCTCATTTACTACCACTTTCCCTAATCCAGGGACTCCAACTTGTCCTTCCTCTCAGTTGTGAAGTGGGCATCTCCGCCAAACTGCCACCAAGGTCCCCTCTCAGGGCAGCTACTCAAATGGCCCATCCATTCCTTATCCCATTGGGCAAGTAACTGCCTGAGCCCAAACTTTCTCACCTGTGAAGTGAGGACAACAACACCCATTTTTTAGGGTTTGGTGAGGCTGAAATGAGCAAATATGCTTGGAGTCCAGGGTCCGGCAGGAGCTGGGCTCAGCTAACTGTAGGGTCCCTGCATTCCCTCATCACTCTCCTCTATTTGTCCTTAGGGTCCCAAAGGAGAGACTGGACAAGATGGTGAGATGGTCAGTACCCAGAGCATTTCAAAGACCTGAGCTGGCAGAGCCATGGTCCCAGGCCCAGACGCTCCTTTTACACACACACACACACACACACACACACACTCGGGTTGTGTGTGCACTTATATGTGTGCACACACCCAAGATCTTGCCCCACCTGCAGTGGGAAGAGACAGCCAGGCCTCCAGCCCCACCAGAATTCTCACAGCTCTGCATCCCTGGAGGGCCCCTGCAGTCTTCTAGTCATTGCTTGAGATCTGATGAGAAGCTGTCTAAGACAGGAGGCCTGGAACAGGCCGATTCTAGGGAAAGCCCTGCCTCCTCTTCCCTGGGACTTGGTGTTGCCCTTTGTAAAATGAGGATGATAAGGACAGACAGGAGCAACATCCAGTATCACCTTTAACACCTTCTTTTCTCTTGTTCCAGGGCCCAAAGGGACCCCCAGGGCCCAAGGTGAGTGTTCCTCAATCCCTGTCCCCACCCCCCTTGAAGCCCAGGCGGCAGGGTTAGGGGACCGAGTTTTATGACCTTGGGTGAGTTACTACATCTCTCTGGGCCTCAGTTTACTCACCTGTTATATGGGGGCATGATAAACCTTTTCTGCCTTACCTTCACGGCAAGTGTGAGGATCAAATAATGCACATTAGCTGTTAAAGCCCTTTCAGATGTCAGCTCTCTTTTTTCCCTCCTTGAGCAATGCCTACTGGGTAGGAAGGCAGATTCTTGTCCTTCCTGAAGGAGCTGGAGCCCCCAGACTGAGCAGGAGGAAAGGGCGGAAAAGCAGCTCCATGTAGTGAGCACCTGCTGCGAGCCAGGGGCTTTTCCTGCATCCTCTCTAATCCCGCAGTGACTCTCCGAGGCCCTCTGAGGCTGCAGGTGTCATATTTCCCGTTTCAAGAGCAGTAACTTGCCTAAGGTCAAGTGACTAGGTTGGGAATGGAGTCCAAGACTGTCAGCCCCTCACCCAGGTTCTCCTCTCTGAGGGGCTGGGGTCTCTGGGTTGCACTGGGCATGGATCATGGGGCCCCTTCTCCAGAGGAGCAGGCAGTCTCTGACCTTTTCCTGCACCCTCACTGTCTAACCCTCAGGGTGAGCCCAGCATTCCTGGAAAGAAGGTGAGGGGGGCCTGTGGGGGGACTTCTGGGCAGGGGAGTAGTAAGTGCCTGGAGAGAAGGGCAGAGGCTGGGCATGGGGCAGAAATGGGACCACCCACAAGGAAGGTGTGCTGCTCCTCAGCAGACCTGAGTCCTCACTGTGGGTATGTCTCTGAAAACAGGATGTCATTCATTCATTCACTCATACTTTCCCTTCCTCAAATACATCCAATTTTTTCGCACTTCAGGGTCCAGGACAGTGGTTCTCAAAGTGGTCCCAACACCAGCATATCAGCATCACTGGGGGCTTATTAAACAAGCATGTTCGTGGTCCACTCCAGATCAAAGCAGACGCTGGGGGTGGGCCATGCTCTGTCCAAGCAGCCTTGGGTGATGCTGATGTGAGCTCAAGTCTGGGAACCACTGACCCAGAGTGACCTTCTCCTACTTCTTTCCATGGCTGGGCCCCCTCCTCCTGAAGATCTCAGCAAAGCTTTCTCTCCTCTGGGAGACTGTCCCTGGCCACCTACTGAAGCACGCCCTCCCCTAGGCCCTCCCCATCCCACCATTCTCTCATATTCTCTGCCTGGCACTTCTGTTTCTTGGCATGATGCTATGTATTTCTCTGGATATTTCTTTCCTCTGACCCATTGAGCAGGGACTCCATCTGCCTGGCCCACAGAAGGTACTCACAAGATAATTGTTGACTGAAGGGCACATTCACTCTCCTTCACCTGCTCATCCATTCCTTCTGCACACACCTGCTAAGGCTCATTCTGGGCTGGCCCTGGGCTAGTGGGGGCAGGGGACAGAAATGGATCTGCCCTAGACGGGTGAGGAGGGGAGGGAGAAGCTGCCCATTCCAGTGTGACCAGCGTTGGGGCCAGGAATGGACAGCTGTGCTGGGGAGTACAGAGGGGATTGGCCAATGGACCACCTGAGGGCCCAAACAGTGTGTCCAGGTCTGAGGTCTGCAGCCTCCACCATTCTCTCCCAGGGAAATGATGGCATGCCAAGCCAGCCAGGGTTCCCTGGACCTCCAGGGCCCAAGGTAGGTACCTATGCCTCTCCACAAGCTCCTCCTGCCTCTCATCTTCCATGGTTCCATCCACCTGGTAAAGCCCCTTTCATTTGGAGGAGGCATAGGCTGATGCCCAGGACAGGCCAAAGAGGCAACAGGAAGGCCCTGGTTTTCACTCGTCAGTGGGCCTGGCACCTCGCACAGATTCTCTATCTCCCCTCACACTCTAAAGTCTTCTGGTTCCCATCTTAGGTGATCCCACTCTCTGCCCTGTCCCCAGGCAAGGAACTGATGTCATCCTGGCTCCTCCAACCCCTCATGACAGCCACCAAATCCTCACCAGCCTGCTCTAAAATGTCTCTTGAGCCCCTGAGCTGCCCCAACTATGCACCAAGACTCAGCACAAAATGTGGCTGTGGTCCTGAGTCTGCTAGACTGGGAAAGCCCTGAGGTCCATCCTCTGCAGGTGGGCTCAGCCTTGTTCTCCTGGAATACTATAGAAGCCAGCAAAGCCAGGCAGCCCCTAACCTGCCCCTGTGCTTACTCTCACGGGGAATGTCTCTGTTGCAGGGCGAGCCAGGGAGCATGGGGCCTCAAGGAGAGAACGGTGTGGATGGTGCCCCAGGCCCCAAGGTAACTTTGCAGCACATTGCTTTGGCTTCTACAGGTTCTGTTCAGAGCAGCACCCTGTCACAGGGAGATGTGGTTCACCTCCACTTTGCCTCTTTAAGTTGGGAGTTCCTGGAGGGCCTGGATACTGGGTCTTGGGTCTCGGGTCTCATGGGACTGGCAATCAGAGGCTGACCTGGGGGTGGGTGAATTACAAGGCTAAGGTACCATGGCTCTTGGACCTCAGTGGCTTATCTCTACTCAACATGGAGTCAGAGGAGGGTTCTGCAGTCACATACTTGAGGCCCTGTGCACTTTGGGGAAGAGGGAACTAGATAGGGTGGGGGAATCTTTGGCTTAGCTGTGCACACCTGGCAGCAACCGTGTGGTCTCCACAGGGGGAGCCTGGCCTGCGAGGAGTCAATGGAGCTGCAGGACTGAGGGTAAGCAATCTCTTCTCCAGCCACCGGAAGAGGATTCGGGGGTCTGTTCCTTTATAAGCCCCTGTCTCCAGAGACCCCAGAGGAGCAATGAGGCTCCAGAAACTGGGAGTCTTTTTTTATAATAATTCATTAATGATTTTTTCATTTTTAATCTCATAATACATGCTTTTGGTAAAATGTTCAAATACAGATGTGTGAAAATAAGTCCATCCTCTCCCTTCTTGCTTCTCTCTCCTCAGGTGAGTGTTTGCCCTTCAAAACTTTTCTTGACATATTCAAACATAGACCCTTGATTGTCACATATGGTGTTAACGATACCCCTGTTCGGGGGTCCTGGCCTTTCTCCCTGCCCCACATGAGGTTCATTCCTGTCACCAGGAAGGAGCACAGTGACTTCAGCTGGTTCCAAAGTCCCCGACCTTCTGTGACCAATCCCTATCAGCACACCTGTAGGCTGATATCCTGGATCCTATTCTCTGTCCTGTGGCCTCAAGCAGCCATATCCCATTGTGCTCACGGAGGCTGGTTTCCTCCTCCAAAAAACAGGTCTGAGCCCACAGCCTGGGCTTGCATGAGGCCAAGGACTAGATTAAGCACTAAGTGTGGGAATTCAGTATAAACTATATAGTTTCATGCAGGTCATGACCATGGAGGCAGCCAGCAAGGAGGCTCTGGCCTGGGTCTCTCCACTCAAGGCCAGGGGCTGGTCACAGGCCTGAACCAAAGCGCTCATGGCCAGTCACTCCTCTCCAAGCAGAGAGGTGCCCAGGTGGGGAACTGAGCTGCAGAGGGTAGGAATGGGACCAGCAACCACACACTTACCTGTGTGAACATGTGCAGACATGCATACTTGTGGCTGTATGCTTGGTGGGTGCATACTCCTACCAGGAACGAGTGGGCATGTCAGTGCATGGTGTGCGCAGCCTCTACCAGAGGTTGGGAAACCAAGGCACAGGCCTACACAGTGTCTTGGATGGTTTGTGTGTCTTGTTTGTGTTTGTTTGTTTGCTAACATTTAAAAACCTAAAGAATGTCACATCATGCCCTGGCCGGTTTTGCTCAGTGGTTAGAGCATCGGCCTGTGGTCCAGAGACCCGGGTTCCATTCCCGCTAAGGGCACGTACCTCGGTTGCAGTTTGTCCCTGGCCCTGGTTGGGTGGCAGCCACTTGATGTGTACCTTTCACGTCGATGTTTCTCTCTCTCTCTCTCTCCCTCCCACTCTATCTGAACAAAAAATGGAAAAATGTCCTCAGGTGAGGATAAAAAAAAAAGAATGTCACATCAAAATTAGGCTTTCTGCCCTGGCTGGTTTGGCTCAACGGTTAGAGCCGCGGCCCATGGACCGAAGAGTCACAGGTTCAATTCCTGGCCCCAGCTTCACGTGGGAGGCAACCAATCGATGTGTTTCTCTCACATCAATGTCTCTCTCTCTCTTTAAAACAATGAATAAATTTTAAAAAATAAAAATCAATGGAAAAATATCTTCGGATGAGGATTAAAAAATATTTACAAAATTAGGCTTTCCACTTTCCCTCGAGGGGCCTCGGAGGGCCTCAATTCCCACATGAAAGCCTATTGCTGCCAGCCCCACATCAGGCAGAGTGTGTTCCTCAGCTGGCCCCAGGCCCCCTTTCCTTCCATGCACCCCTGCCTAGCTCCTACAGTGTTTTGTCAGTGAGCTTGGGTGTCAGTGTCAAGTGAATGCCAAGGGACCAGACCTGAGGACCAGCCATGCCGGGTTCCCCAGGTTAGAGCTGAGCCACTACCCCAGACTGCATGTAGCTCCGGTTACTGGGGTCTTTGGGTGAGATACAGAGACAGCTACCACTTCATGTGCCAACGTAGCTCCTCCCTGACACCTTCCTCTTCTTCCTGCCTCAGGGTCCCCAAGGCCTCAAGGGTGAGCAAGGAGACACAGTGGTGATTGACTACGATGGCAGGATCTTGGATGCCCTTAAGGTAGGGTTCCTGTTGAACCAGATGCACCTTGCTGTTCATTTCCTAAGGGAATAACTACTCACTTTGTGTATTAATCCCATACTCTGCACACAAGGGCCCAGAGGTAGTTTTAGCACAAAAACCCCAACTTCACCAGGTGCTGTGTTGAGACCAAACAAGATAGTTAGAGAGCTGCTATGAATGTGGCTCATGTGGCCCCAAGCTTCCCAGAGGTCAAAGCAAAAGGGGGAGGGGTACAGCATTTCCTGGTGTCCAGTCCCAGCAGGGCCTCCTGGGGCCTTCTTGGAGAATTCAGGCTAGAAGGCTAGGACTTCTAATGACCGCTGGGGGAGGATGAGTGGCAAGGGCTGCCCCAGAGCCTTGGGAGATATGTAACCTGTGAGACCTGCCCAGAAAACTTGGGACACATAACCAGTGGAAGAGAGGTTGGATGCCAGGGAGCTGGAGTGAGAGACAGTCATTAGAGACCAGACAGGACAGCACCTGACCCCACCTGAGCTTCAATTCCAGTTATTTCCCACAGACCTCAAAGAAGTACAAGGTGATGGTAACCGTAGCCCACCTCAAGCCTGCATGGTGTGGCATGGTGTGGTGTGACATGGCCCGAGGGTGTGTACTTGCATGGAGTGTCCTGGGCTGGCTAAGAGCCGCATGGGAGAAGTTATATGAGTACAGGAAGGCAGGAAGTAAATTTGGGGTGCCAGACTGGGATGATGACTCCATTGGGTGAGCAGCAGGCACCTATAGCTGATTCTTGAACCTCATATTGGGGAATGGTGTGGAGGATGAACAAAAAGTGGGTGTGGGGACAGCTGGAGGCAGACAGGCCACAGGGAAGGTAGGGGTTAAGTGTGGGCCTAGAGGAGAGTGGGTAGAATAAAGGAAGATTGTAAGACTGGGGACACCTCAATAGAGCTGATAACAAAGAAGGAACAGGTTGGTAAGAGGAGGTAGAGGGGCAAGGACTGGAACTTTCGGGGCTGAGGGACTGGATTGAGTGTGGCCTTTGGCAGGGGACATGAGTTTGTGGAGCAGTGATGAGCCATGGTGAGCAGGCAGCCTTCTGGAAGCCTAGGTCAACATAGCAGCTTGGGAGTTGCATCAGACCTAGAGACTAAAGATGCCATTCCCTCCCTGAGTGACCCAGGGACTCCCTGGGGCAAGAAGACAACAGGCAACAGAGCCAATAGCCAGAGAGGTCACAGAGAAGTAGAGAAGGCAGTGTTGAGCCATTGTTGGGGACGCAGTTCTGGGCTGGCATTGAATGCCAGCTTCAAGAGGCAATAGGGAGCCACCACGGGATCTTGAGCAAGGCAGTGCTGCAAAGAAATCTAGATTTGGGGAAATAAGCTCTGAGGGCAGAAGATTCTAGGCTCTCCGTGGTAGTAGATACTGTGATATCTTACCTGACGCTTGGTGCCTCCTCCCAGGACTCTTCAAGACACGGGGCCTGAACTGGTTGGGTGGGAATTAGGCCCTTGACCCTGCTGCAGGCCAGCTAAACAGGGATGTGACCCTCTGGAGTGGAAGGGATGAACCAGCAGTGAGCAGAGGCCCTGCCTAAACACTTACCGGCTTGACTTTTGCACACAGGGTCCTCCTGGCCCACCAGGGCCCCCAGGGCCACCAGGAATCCCCGGAGCCAAGGTCAGTGCACATGCAGCTGTGTGGTCCCTCAAGCCTGTTGTCTCCAGAGCCCACCTCCCCTCTCCCCTCTACTGTGCCCCCTCTGCTGGTCTCCCCGTGTCCCAACCTGGCCTCTGGAGGCTCAAAGAAAGGAATTACTTCCTAATCAAGCAGGGTGCCTTCTTCCCAGCCCTAGTTACACTAAGCCCTGGGAAATTTGATTCACATGTTGAAACCCATAAATTGGCCCCTCATGACATCACAAAGTCCCATAGATAACATGGCCTTTCCTATGTCCTGTATGCATCATTACACCCTGCCCATCCAGCTCAGAAGAAAGAGCCCAAGACTGTAAAATCAGACAGGCCTGGCACCACCATCGTCCCTGGGCTGTGTGGCCTGGAACAAGTCATTTAACCCTCCAAGCCTCAACTTCCAAACTGTAATCTACCAGCCAACAGATTATAGTCCTGAGCTATATCTACCTATAGGAGCTGAGGACATGGAGGAGTGGAGGTGACCAGCTCCTGGCACCATGCTGGGTACCCAGTGGGCACCTTCCTAGAGGTATAACTGCAGGGACTCAACCTGCAGATCCCCCTCGGGGGCCATGGGACACCATAACCCCTCTTGCTGTCTGTTCCCTTCCAGGGTGAGCTTGGATTGCCTGGTGCTCCAGGAACCAATGGAGAGAAGGTCTCTGGGCCTTTTATTTTCTTGGTGATACTGGTACCAAGTGTCGTGCTGTGTGTGTGTGTGTGTGTGTGTGTGTGTGTGTACAGAGTTAGAGAACAAAATGTGCCACCTGTGTGCAAATCCTGGTTCTGCCCTTAGGCCTTGGGCAAGCTGCTCACTTTCTGGCAGCCCCTGCTCTTCATCCACAGGTGAAGGTGGTAACAGGGCTGTTGTGAGGGTTAAATAACTCTGTGTATGGAAAACTTAGAGCAGTTCCTGGAGCCATGTAGCAAAGAGTATTTGAATATTAGCTAATAGCATTATTGTCATTATTAGTATTATTGTAAGTATCCACATGTGCAATCCTACATAGACATCATAGTGTCCATGAGTGTCACTTGACATTTGTGGGTGTGGCTTTAGCACTTTGTCCCTAGTGTGTGGCACAGTGTGGATGTTACACAATTGGTTGAGTGAAGGAATGCAGTGGCCGGAAGGTGACTGTGTGGATGGTTGGTTGATTGTAGGGGGCTCCCATCACTGACTCCTGAGAGGTGAGCACAGGGTTGACCTGGAACCCCACAGTGCCCCCTCATGGCTGCCCAGTCCCACTGGCTCCACTTCCTCCACCTCCACCCCACCCTGCACCCCTGTGTGCAGTAAGGCAGGTGTCGGGGTGCTCCCTGTCTCTGTCTAGGCCCTTCAATGCATTTGCCACTTGACCTGGAGGCAGGATCCCATAATGTGGAAGTGAGGGTCTGGACTGGCCTGAACAAAGCTCTGGGGACCTGTCAGAGTAGGGGGAGGGAGTGCCTGCTGCCCCACTGACCCCTTGTTCGTGTGGCTTTCAGGGCCCCAAAGGACCAAAAGGAGACCCAGGAGAGACTGGGCCAACTGGACCCAAAGGGGAAACAGGCAAAATGGGCCTGTCTGGCCTCCCAGTAAGTGGTTAGGCCCACCTACCCTATTTGCCGGGTGTCAGGTCCCAAAGTGCATGTGTGTCTGCTGGCAACTGGGGCCCTACAGTCTCAGTCCAGTCCCGGGCCATACGGCCTTTGAAAGGAAGCTTGAACTCCCAGCCCACACTGCTCAGACTCTGAGCCCCCATTTCCTCACCTGTAGAAGGACCTACTACCTATCTCCCAAGGCCTCTGTAAAGGTGAAATAAGGAGGCCCTAGCCGGTGGAAGTGAGTTGGCAGTGGTTATACTACAGCTCTGGCTGCCTGGGTTTGCATCCTGTTTCATTTCTTACTGACTGGAACCCTGCACAAACAACCTAACCCCCCTGGGCCTCAGTTTCCCCACCTCTAAAATTGGTGTGATAATTTCCCATTCCCATGAAGGAATATACAGACAGACCTGAGAATGGGGGCTGATACCCTATAAATACTTGCTGTCACCATTATTGTCATTTTGATCATCGGTCTTCTGCTGCCAGAAGCCTTATGGGGGAGGGGAGGGGAGGTACTGATCACTGTGGGTGGTGATCTGGTGATGGACAGAAAGAACTCAAGGCCATCCTATCCTACAGGGTGCCCACGGCCCCAAGGGGGAGAAGGGAGAGCCAGCATCTGACAACCTACCAGAGAGCCTGGTAAGGACTGCTGAGGACCAGGGTCTCCCCCCAGTGCCCAGCCCAGGCCAGCTGGAGCCCCAAGTTTTGGGAGAACAGGGCCACCTGGCCTAACCAGACCCAGGGTAGGGGAGGGGGAACCTCAGGTTGTGTCCTCTACTTAAGACCCATTTGAGAACCCAAATGCCAGCGCTGGGTCCCCACCAGGCAGTAAGGGCAAGAAGCAATGGCTCAGGGCCTGGTGCCAGGGAGTGCTCCTTCAATGTCCCACAAGTTCAAGTGTGGGTGGGTGAAGGATGACGAGGTAGTTTGTAACTAATCCACTTCCAACCTTTTCCTAGGCCCAGATCATAGTGGAGCCAGGGCCCCCCGGCCCCCCTGGTCCCCCAGGTCCCATGGTAAGAATGCTTGGCTTGAAGCAGCTAGGGGGAGGAGACATATCAGGCAAGGAGGGCAGAGCCAGGATCTGGGCTTGGAGGGCCCCGGAGGTCAAATCCACAGAGGCCAGTGAGTGGCCTGCAAGCCCTCATGACCACTACAAGAGGGCCTTGGCCCTGATCTGCTCTCTCCTCCTCCAGGGCCTTCAGGGAATCCAGGGTCCCAAGGTGAGTTCTAGAGCATGTGTGAAAACACCCCTACTTGCTTCAGATTCACAGCCTGGACAGTTCCAGAAAGTCTTGCTAATAGGCCAAGTGAGGGCCCCATGTTTGGCCTTAGACCTGCCCTGCATCTTCCCAGGGCCTGAACATTCTGAGTCCCCTAGGGCTTGTGCTCCTTCATGCCCACAGTTGGGGCTCTGTTATTTCCCCTTCTTCTTCTGTCCAGGCCCCAGTCCACTGTTTTTCCCTCCTCACTGTGCATCTCCCCCTTCTCTGCACCTTCCCCTTCCCCCACATGCACATCTGTCTCTCAAATGCCCAAGCCTTGACATGAAATCTTGGATTTGGCGTGTACTACTCCATAAGGTTGTGTCCTCTGTTCTTTAAACTAAAACCATGCGTGTGGCCTAACCATGTGCCCTGCCACAGGGGCCACACAGATGGGGAGGCCACCTGGCCTCACTGCTTGCCCTACCCTGAGGGAGCACACATCTCTGCTTCCCCAGCTCAGAAGCCAACTTGGGGGCTCAGAGTCATGGACTCCCAGAGCTCAGTGGGCCAAGCATGCGGCCTACCAGATGTGCTGCTTCTAGTTCTGCTTTGTCCCAAGGCCTCCCCAGATTATGTTTAGAAGAGGCAGATGTTGTCAGGGATGGAGTCCAAGGGTGGGGCTCAGAAACTCAGTTGGTAGTCAATCCTGTGCTTGCTTGCTGTGCAGCTGGGCCCATCCCTGCCCCATCTGTGCCTCTCTTTCTTCATCTGTATAACTACAACCACCTACATGAGTACTGAGATAGCCCATGTGCAGGAAAAGGTAAAATGCTCACACCCAAAGCTCATTTTGATTATTTACACATAAAGGAAGCCAGGGCCAGACCTGTCAGAACCTGGAGTCTGTCCCTCTGCCCTGCACACCTGGGCCTCCACAGGCCCCAAGAATCCCTGTCCTTCCATCTGTCTGACCCTTTCTGCCTGACTGGTGCCCCCCTTCACTTCCAGGGCTTGGATGGAGCAAAGGGAGAGAAGGGAGAGTCAGGGGAGAGAGGCCCCAGCGGCCTGCCTGTGAGTGTCATGAGCCTTGTTTGTCCTTAGAGGTGCTAATTCCTGTAACCATCATGCCTCTTAATTCATTCCTTTTTCATCCAGGGGCCAGCTGGCCCACTAGGCCTTATTGGGCTGCCAGGAACCAAAGGAGAAAAGGTAACCACCTTTCTTTACCCCACCCCCAAATATGATTGCACATCTGTGGTGTCACTCAGCCCTGGGGTTTCAACCTCTGCACTTCAGGGCCATAGTTCAAGCCATGCTTGTGGATAACTTACAGGGCTGAAATACCCACCAATTATGCTCCCAGCACCCCATCCCAGCCTCCTCACACCTTCTCTGTCTCTCCTCAGGGCAGACCCGGGGAACCAGGACTAGATGTAAGTATCTCACTATTCTCTGTGATCAGGTCCCTCCTGTGTATAACGTCTGCCCTCATGCTACACATACAGTAACCTGATCTGATTGGTTTGGGTGTAAGTAACCCCCTTCCCAGGGCTGGGACTACAGCTGCCCGTTTCCCCTACGTTCCCAGTGCCAAGTCCCATGCACTGCCCAGAATAGGTGCTGGATGGATGGATGGATGGATGGATGGATGGATGGATGGATGGACAGATGGATGGATGGATGGATGGATGGATGGATGGATGGATGGATGGATGGACAGACGGACAGACGGATGAATGGTAGGTGAATAGATGATAGATGGATGATGCATTGGAGCAGGGAAGTGTGAAAAGCAGTAAGGAGCCTATCACAATATCCTGGTGAGAGATTATGAGGCTTCAGCTAAGGAAATATTGTGGGAAGGAGAGGAGTGAAAGTATTAGTCCAATGTTGACTAGATCAAGCGTCTGTTGGTAGCAAGAGACAGAAACTGGTTTAAACTGACTCATACTGAAAAATCCAGAGGTACAGCACATGGATCCAGGGCTCAAGTGTGTTAACACAACACAACCTCTCGCCCCCTCTTGTGTCTGTAATTACTCTGTGGACATCATTCCAAGTTCCACATGATAATGAGATGGAGCCAAGAGCTCCAGACCTGCATTTCTCCAGGCCCAAATTCTGGAGAAAGACTATCTGTCTCACTCTCTACTCTTTTAGAAAAAGTAACATCATGCCCTGGCCGGTTTGGCTCAGCAGTTGGAGCATTGGCCTGCGGACCAGAGAGTCCCAGGTTCAGTTCCTGATAGGGGCACATACCAAAAAAAAAATTAAAAAATAAAAAAAGGAGAAAAAAAAAGTGTCATCAACTCTCATTGGCCCCATTTGGGTCAATGCTGAAATTCCACTTGGCCAGAGAAATGCAGTACTCCAACTGGCCAAGCCTGATCACATGCTCCATCCTGGAGCTGAGGGTGAAGTCAGTGAGGTATGAGAAAGAAAGGGGGTCCCCAGGAAAATCAAGTAGCCCTTGGAAGGGAAATGGTGACCAGATACAGGGCTGCAAGGCTTACGGTGTCTACCCTAGACTTTAAGGAGAAAATGTAACTCTGAAGAGCAACTGCAGACAAGGAAGAGGAAGAACTCTAACCTGAGTTTCTGACTGGAAGGGCCATGTTCCATCCATGAGAAGGGTCAGGAGAAAAAAACATCTGGACCCAGGGAGGTAGTCAGGGCACAGCTAAAGACTCCATGGCCAGAGCTGCCTTCTGGGAGGCCCAGAGCTCAGAGTGTCATCTCAAAGCCACACCCACTTGTTCTACCTGGCAAACTGCTGGCACCCACTTCTCCAGGCCCAGATGAAATGGGGAGTCTGCTCAGAAGCCTTCTCTGATCTCCCACCTGGACAGAAAAGCCTCTCTCCCTGGGACCCCATGGCATTTGTTTCACTCCTGTCATGGAGCATTGATCACCTTCTGTACCCACTGCCTGCCATGTGAGAGAAGTATCACATTTGTACCCATGGGGTTTTAATTTATGAAGGTGATTGAGTGATGACACAAAGAGATCAATGCCTTTCAAAGAATTTATTACTTACATTTCTCAAGAGAAGGGCATGAAGGGCCTCATGGGGAACCACCAGGTTTGGTCTGGAGGCAAAAAGGAGCAGGAAAAGCATAGGTCAGAGCTTTCATTGGATTTTCTGTGGGAAAGGCAGGGCAGGGGAAACAGATTAGAATTGGCCAGTTTAAATAATTCCAGCAGGTGTCAGCTATAGGGGCAGCCTCTGGTTGCCTGCTCTCTGGGACAGCAGCAGGCAATTTTGGACAGGGGAAATATTGTTCTGGTGCACGAGAGGCAGATAAAGGGGGTGGCTGGGGCATTGCTTGGTTTGCATCCCAGACTAGCCCTTTGCCATCTCTAAGAACTGATTTGTTCTGGAAGGGACAGCCTTTCCCCAGCCAGCAAGAATTTTATGATAATAAGATATAGAACATAAACCACATAATAAATTCAAGAGGAAACACATCAAATCTGTTTCTCTGTTCCCAACTTCCAGGCCCGAGTCCCGTTCATAGTGGATGCTTAGAAATGGTGGTTGGATAGCCCTGGCTGGTTTCGTTCAGCAGTTAGAGTGTGGCCTGTGGTCCACAGAGACCCGGGTTTGGTTCCCACTAAGGGCACATACCTCGGTTGCAGTTGTCCCCGGCCCTGGTTGGGTCATGTGGGAGGCAGCCACTTGATGTGTCCCTTTCATGTCAATGTTTCTCTCTCTCTTCCTCTCTCTCCCTCCCACTCTATCTGAACAAAAAATGAAAAAATGTCTTCGGTGAAGATAAAAAAAAAAAAAAAAGAAATGGTGGTTAGATGGACAGACAGATGGACAAATGGATGAGTGGGTGTACAAGAGTTTGAGCCAAGGCCAGAGAACAGAGGTTATCATTTCTTGGTGTCATAAACTTACATAGGTTTCCTGGGTCTCTGTCCCCAGCCACGTCTGGTCAATGCCAGCTGCATCTGACTATGACATAAGTGAAGGCCCTTGGCCAGCGGTTCTCCCTGGGGCTTCCATCCAGTCTCTGACAGTGCTCTGCTTCAGAGGAATTCTGCTGGTGTCCTAAAGGCATGCATTTCCCTAAACCAGCCTGTACCCAGCATATATGTCACCTAGGTGTTGAGGCTGGACCAGCTTGTACCACGAATATGGAGGGAGGGGGCAGAGATGGACAGATAAGAGGCGTAAACCTCAAACTTCATTTTCAGGTTTAACCTTTAATTCTTTTGTCAGGGTTTCCCTGGACCCCGAGGAGAGAAAGGCGACCAGAGCGAGCGTGGAGAGAAGGTGGGAAAAGTAGAAAGTGGGGGCAGCTGGACAGGAGATGGGGCAAGAGGACAGAAGGAGGGAGGCAGGTGAAGAAGAGGGAAGAGACAGAAAGGACATGGGAGGCAAGAAGCAGGCAGAGCCCTGGCCAGTTTGGCTCAGTGGTTAGAGGGTCGGCCCATAGACCAAAGGGTCAAGGATTCAATTTCTGATCAAGGGCATGTACCTAGGTTGCAGGTTCAATCCCTGGACCCAGTTGGGGTTATGTGGAAGGCACCCAATTGATATATCTCTCTCATATCAATGTTTCTCTCTCACTCTTTGTCCCTCTTCTTCCTTTCCACTCTATCTAAAAATTAATGGAGAAATATGCTCAGGTGGGGATTAACAAAAAAATAAATAAAAATAGAAAAGAAGGAGGCAGAAAGAAGCAGGGTGGACAGGTAGAGACTGGGATCGGGGTAACAGGCAGGTGGCTGTCAGCCCCAGGCCCAACTCTCAGAGTTGCTGGAGACATCCTAGGCATGGCAGCCATAGCCACACCTCTGTTTCCCTTCTTGTGCAGGGGGAGCGAGGCATCCCTGGCCGGAAAGGAGTGAAGGGCCAGAAGGGCGAGCCAGGACCACCAGGCCTGGACCAGCCATGCCCTGTGGTATGTGTCAGAGCCGGAGGGGAGCCACAGTGAAGGACTTTGCTGCCTCTTGGCAGCATTTCCCCTGTTCTCAGAGCTCAGCTACAAGTACCAGAGGCCACGCTGGCCCTGCCCTGGGATGCTTACACTGACATCACAGAGGGTCCTCTGCTCTGGTCCTGACCCCACCATGGGTGAAGCTTGGGAGATCCGCCCTGTCTATAGAAAGGGAGACCTGGCCAGGGGCAGAGTCTGTTGGCTGAGGTCATTGCACTTCTTTATTCCATTTCTCTGTCCTCAAAGGAGGGTGGGACCACCCTTACCTCTCGGGGTGTCTGTCCTATCCAGGAGGAGGCTTTTTCTGCTCTGGGTGGCCCCATGCTGCCCCGTACCTCTCATCCACATTCCTCTGACCCCTCCCTTCCCTGCTCCCACAGCCTTCTCTTCTCCTGCTCTGTTAGCACAGCTGTGACAGCCCACCCAACCCAGTGCCTGAAACACCCAAAGTTGTTCCCTTTTTCTAAAAGGCAGTGGAGGTAACCTATTTCAGTGGAGCTCAGAAAGACGGAAAACAAGACAGCTGAGTTTCCATATTCATACCTGACTAGATATTCATACCTGGCTACCCCTGTCAGGGGCATGGGGAGAGGGACCTGCAGCCATGTGTGTAGCCAACTTCTAAAGGGAGGTCAGGGACAGGGACCCCCAGAGGCCCAGTCCTCTGTTCTTGAGTGAGTCACTAAGCCCTCTGTTCCTTAGTCTCCTTATCCATACAATGGGGGTGCTAATCCCACCTTCAGATGGTTTTGAAGAAGCAATGAGAAAAAGACATGAAAATCTGAGTGGTTAGCAAACAAAAAAGTACCAAGTACAGCACGGAACAGGGCAGCCCTGCAGATCCAGCCCCTGTACCAATACTTCCCTCCAAGACTCGAAGCCTGTGTCTTCGAAACAGTAAAATCCTAAATGCAGAAGCAAGCAAGGGGCACTGGACTGTTCTAGGGGCCTGCCCTGCAGTACGTGGCCTGGCCTGTTGTGTGCTGGGCTATGCTTTGCTGTCATCTGCCCTGCCCCTCAATCCTGCCTGCCCCTCCCCACCACCCCCAGACCCCAGCCTGCACCCTGCCAGATGCACATTGGACAGAATGGGAATGTTCTTGCCCCAGGTTCCACCAGGGATAATAAGTCAGCCTTTATCCCTCTCCATCCCCCATCTTCTAGACCGTCTGAGGACGCCCCCAACCCCACCCCCCACTTACTCTGATTGCTGAGCTATAATGACTGATAGCTTCCAGATAATCCCTGCCCAGGTTCCACCCTGCTGGCCTCCTCCTGACCCCTGTGGCTCAGATCCAGACACAGAGACCAGAATGGGCCACATGCAGGGGGATCCCACTTCCTAAATCATCCATACACCCTTCGATTCCTGAAAACTCTCAGGCCCCCAGAGTGAGGAACTAGAGCAAGGGTGAGGAACCTTTTTCTGCCAAGGGCCATTTGGATATTGATAACATCATTTGTGGGCCATACAAAATTATCAGCTTAAAAATTAGCCTGCTATATTTGGTCAAACATTTAATTAACTCACCCCTAATGTGATGGCTGGAACTGTTTCTCATTGGTGAAGCGTGTGATGTTAGCTGGTACTGATCTCAAGGGCCATATATGACCCACAGGCCAGACGTTCCCCACCCCTGGTCTAGAGCCACTGTCATGGCCCACCAGGCAGGAAGCCATGCAGCCCCTCAGCAGATGTCCAGCATAAGCCCAGTACTCCAATGTCCTCCTGGTTCTACGCACTGCACAGGTGTCCCAACAAAGCCCCATAGGGGTACACTCAGGACAAGTGCAGTGAGGAGTGGTCTGTCCCATGACTAGGTTGCCTGGGTGAACAGGCAGGCATTTGGGTCATGTTTCAATGGGGTCCAGCAACCTCACATGGTAGCTCCCTGAGCTGTACATCCCTACACCCTGGGCAGGAATGTGCCAGCATAGAGAGCTGACAAGCCCCTGCCCCCATCACTAAAAACTTCTTCCTTTCCAGGGTACTGACGGGCTGCCCGTGCCTGGCTGCTGGCATAAGGTACTTTGCAGGGGAGTCTCTAGGACAGACAGAGAGGAGTCAGAGGACAAGAGGGGCCTGGGGGTGGGTATCTTCCAGCTCCCTACACAGTGACTAAATAGCCAGGTGTCATAGACCTAGTTTTGACACTCCCATGGTGTTGGTGTGGCCTCAGGTTTGGGGCCATAATCCTGGGTAATTATGCACAGCCCACCCTGTTGGTTGCACAGGGTCACTCAGCACCTGACTCAGCCAGTGCAAAGCCATCAGTGGCCCCTGGAACTTTGTCCAAACTGTCCCCCTGAGAGAGGGTGGAAGCCAGGAGCCTGGGACTAGGCGATGGGGGCCTGCCATTTTCTGAGGAAATGGGCAGGATGGATGAGGTCCAGACCAGGGAGGGGGCCCCTCCTCACCTTCAGTCGTTCTCTCCTTTTCCAGTGATCCTCAGTACCCAGCCACAACCTATAGAGACCTGTGTGGACATTTTTAATTCTTGTAAAAACAAAACAGTAATATATTGACCTTTTTTCATGGAATGCACTACCTGTGGCCTTTAACCTTTGAGTGTGTGCCCAGCCCAGCCCCAGAACGATCAGCATGTGAAGCTGGCAGGAACATGGACAGGCAATTGGGGAACTGTGTACTTGAGGGACAACCACAGGACTTGGCTCTCCTGGGAAGGAGACGAAGGTGAAGGTGCCTGGCTCAGATGAGGCTGCAAAGATGCCAGGTTGGGCCTGATTAGCAGAGAGACTCTGGCTGCCCGGCTGCCCGGCTGCCCTACAAAAGCCTGCCCCCTGAAGCTCCAAAGCCCCCCTGGGGGCCACATGGAATACAGACGACCACTGAAGCTGCTCATGGCTCTTCAGCCAGAGCCAGCTGCCCACCCTCTCAAACCCTCCTGGACCCTGGTTAACCAAGGCAGAACAAAACTCCTGCCTAGCACTTACAGCTGGGCACTGGGAGCTGAGCTGTAGAAAGCACTCCAAGTAGGTCTAGCTCTCACCAAGTTCATTAGGCTTCAGGAAGCCAGCCTGAATGAGAACACATGTCCTCTGGCCAGGAGTACAGGCCAAGCACTGTGATCACCACTACATGGACCCAACTACAGGGAGCCCCATGGTCCCCGAGTGTAGAAGATAAAGAGGCCTATGCTGGAGTAGCTGCTGCTTCCTGTCTATCTCCCCCTGGCCCTCCCCGCAAGCAGGACTGTGATGAGACTTTGACAGCCTGAGGAGATGGGCCTCCAGCTCAGAGTTTGGGTGTCACTAGTCCCAGTCTCCCACCCCAGAGAACTCCAGTTAGGTAGCTAAAAGCAGTCCGCTAGGTGAACTGTGCAGATGAAGAGAACCTCAATGTTGTTCCTAGTCAGCCCAAGCAGGAGCCGGCGACCTAAGAATCAGTGCTCTAAGGAAAGGCTTCCCCACCTCTGACAAAGGTCCCCAGCCACCAACTCTGGCCCAGCTACTTGCCTCCCCTCTCTGTGTGGATGGATACTGCTCTGTGTAATAAACCATAAATTTGTGTCTGGTTGTGTCTGTCCTTGAAGACTGTCCCTGGGGCACCTCTGGCTGAGGTTTCAGCCTGGTCATTGCAAAGGAGGGACAGGGAACTCTCCCTGGGTCAGAGCCACCCCAAAAACCAGAAGAAGTAGTTCAGGGTTAGGGCAAAAATGGGGTTTGGAGTTTGGAAGATACAGACTGAAGGCCTAGTCCTACCATGTACCAGCTGAGCCTTCTGGACAGTCACATCACTGAGCAAAGTGACCAACAACTGCTACCTAGAAAATCACCCCAGAACTTGTTGCGTTAAAACAATGATCATGTATACTTCTTAACAGTTCTTGGGTTAATGGGATCAGCTAGGTGGCTGTGGCTCAAGCTCTGCCACACCTGCCGGTTCATGCTGGCTGTCAGCTGGAGGTCAGATAGCCAGACACCTAGCCCTGGCCTCTCCATGTGGTCTGGGTTCCTCATGCTGGATTCCAAGAGTGAATGTTCCATGGTGAACCAGGTGAAAGCTGTGTCACCTTTCATGGCCAAGACTCAGAATTCATGTGGTGTCACTTCCTGCTATAATCAATGGTCAAGTTTTCAAGGGAAAAGTGTCAACTTCATATTTTAAGGAAAAAATGTGGGTAGATCTTGTTGCAGCCCTCTTAGAAAATTCAACCTGCCACCTCATCTGTAAAAAGGTCAGTGACGCCTACAATCCAACTATGTTTAATGAGAACTAACTACATGGAATACAAGAACCCAGGGCAGGGCAGGCACCTGGCAGTTCCCATGATTCTGATTCCTCCCCACTCTAAGACCAAACAAGGGCCATAGTCTTGCAAAGCATTCTACAACACTTATTCCAGCCGGTCCTTATAACAACCCTGAGAGAGGGACCCAGCGAATATGCCCATTTCACAGATGACAAAACCAAGCACATCTGGGATGGTAAAGACAAGAAGGGGCCTACAGTGACACCATCCCAGGCCTTCTCCTTCCAAGAACTGAGGCCTAAGGAGGGCCACCATTTGGGTAGTCCCCCTGACCCCCACTAAGTGTCCTCACTAAGCAGAAGAGGCCCAGCCACACACGGACTAAGAGGACTGTGTCAAGTCCTCACCTCTGTCTGCCTCAGTTGCTGGTGATAAGTGGCAGGCCCACTGCTTAGCCAGTTGTCTGGGTCACCAGGGAAGCCGAAAGTGTGAAAAGGAGGAGAAACAGTGGGGCTGTGATGACTGATGAACATCACAAGCTGTCCAACTGTTCTTTGGTGTTCCAACATAACCTCACAAATCTATTGCATTCTACAGTTTGTAAATTCGCTCTTCCCTCCACCCAAGTACCTCATGGATCCCCACAACAGCCCTGTGAAGGAGGGAGCCTATGTGATTCATGTCACTTTTTTTATTTTACATGTTGGGAAACCAAGGCTCTGAGGGAGTAGTCATCTGCCTAGGGATAAACAACCAGGATTATCTTTCCGAAATCACTTAGTGTACAGAGTCTCTAAGCAGCTCCATGACACTGGGTGACTAGCAGGCAGATCCTTTTTGGGGAAGAAACCACATGTTTCCTCTTACCCAGATAAGAGGGGGTCCCCTTCCTGCTCCTTTGAGTAGGACAAGGCCAGTCATGGCCCATTGCTGCCCTCTTGTGGCCTCACACAGTGTATCCTCAGGTCTGCAAATTTTTCAGCTGCAAACGGCAAATTTCAGAGCCTACAGATTGTTCCAAGAGCTTGAGGTGGGGACAAGAGGCTACAGAAGAGTGAATGACTTTCTCAAGCTCCCAGCTGAGACATGCGAGTGCCCTGCCTCACAGCTGAGCGTTAAGGATCAAGGGTTTCATATCTTCCTGCCAAGAAATTACCCCCTTCCAGAAGAAAGGGAAGCACATTTTTGAACCCACTGTGTGCCATGGCAGCTAAACTAATCATAAAAATTCCTACACCATGAGAATAGTGTGCTGACCCAGATCTGCCTCCTCCTGATCCCTAGGAAACTACATGAGATGCTTTTGGTTGTCACAAAGACTGGGGGACACTCCTTGCATTCAGTGGGCAGGGTCAGGGATATCAAACATCTGAAAGGCCTTCCCCATGATGAATCATCTCAATGAGAATGCCAATGCTGCCTGCATTGAGAAACACCATGACCCGGGTTCAAATTTTTTTTTTTTTTACAGAAGGTACTTTTTATTTTTCTGTTTTTTTGTTTGTTTTTATCTTTATTGTTGAATGTATTACAGATGTTCCTCATTTTTCCCCCATTGACCTCCTCCTCCCCACTCCTGTCCCCCTCCCGATTTTTCCCACATTGTTGTCCGTGTCCATTGGTTATGCATATAAGTTCTTCGGTTTATTTCTTCCCACTCCCAACTCCTTTCCCTTTGAGGTTTGTCAGTCTAGCAACCAATTTGCACTTCTTAATCCCTTCACATTTTTCACCCATTCCCCCAAACCCCCTCCCATCTGGCAACCTATGAGAATGTTTCTGTTATGCCTGTTCGTTTTGTTTGTACATTCAATTGTCGATAGATATGTATTCATTGCCATTTTGTTTGTTCATATATTTTATCTTTTTCTTCAAAAAGACCCTTCATCATTTCATATAATAATGGTTTGGTGGTGATAAACTCCTCTAACTTTTCCTTGTCTGGGAAACTCTTTATATGGCCATCGATTCTAAATGACAGCTTGACAGAATAGAGTAATCTGGATTGTAGGTTCTTGCTTTTCATCACTCTGAATATTTCTTGCCACTCTCCCTGGCCTGCAAAGTTTCTTTTGAGAAATCAGCTGACAGTCTTATGAGAACTCCCCTGTAGGTAATTAATTGCTTTTCTCTTGCTGCTTTTAAGATTCTCTCTTTGTCTTGAACCTTTTGCATTTTGATGATGATGTGTCTTGGTGTGGGTCTCTTGGGGTTCATCTTGTTTGGGACTCTCTGTGCTTCCTGGACTTGTATGTCTGTTTCCTTCACCAAGTTAGGGAAGTTTTCTGCCATTACTGTTTCAAATAGGTTTTCGATTTCTCATTCTCTCGCTTCTCCTTCTGGCATCCCCAAGATGCGAATGTTGGCACACTTGAAGTTGTCCCAGAGGCTCCTTACACTATCCTCATTTTTTTGGATTCTTTTTTCTTTTGGCTGTTCTGATTGGGTGTTTTTTGCTTCCTTATATTTCAAATAGATGGTTTGCTTCTTGGCTTTACTTTACTATTGAATCTGTGTAAATCCTTCTTTATTTCAGTTAGTGCCTCCTTCATTTCTGACTGTGCATCCTTCATTTCTGACTGGTCCTTTTTTATGCTCTTGAGGCCCTCCCTAAGTTCACTGAGGTTCTCACTAAGTTCATTGAGCATCCTTATAAGCAGTATTTTGAACTCAGCATCTGTCAGGTTGCTTATCTCCATTTCGCTTAGTTCTCTTCTTGGGGATTTGTTCTGTTCTTTCATTTGGGACCTGTTTCTTTGTCTCCTCATTTTGGCTGCCTCCCTGTGTTTGTTTCTATGTATTACTTAACAAGAGGTATGGGGCTAGCTGAGACCAGATGCTGCTTGTTTGAAAAAATTTAGGAAAACCTAAAGCAGGATCCAAGCCAGGCCAATCCTATAGTTAAGCAACTGGCAACAGCTTGGGTGGGCCTGAAAGCTGGGTGGGGCGGGGCCTCAGGGAATCACCAGGGTGGGGCTACCAGTGTGAGCCAGGTTGCTGGAGTCCCAGATAGGGCAGCTGCCTGCCGCCCCAGGGAAGGGCTCACCAAAGGAACAAAGGCCTCTGACAGCATGTTTGTCCTGGAAAAAGCCCCCTCTCCAGCCCTCGCTCCAATGCCAAAGGACTCAGTTCTTCCCTGTATGTCTCTGGTGCCACTCCAGCTGCCTCTCCTCCAAGCTTAGAGGGAGTGAGTCTGACAAGTCCCTGCACGGGCCCTTTAAGAGGAGCTGCCTGGGGCTCCAGCCACCTCGGCCTCCCTGAGCCTCAGTTCCACTGGTTTTTCCAGCCAGAAGTTATGGGGACTTCTGTTCCTGG